ATGTGATGAAGTGGAAAGTGGAAATTCTGGTGTTTTCGTTCTTTTTCGAAAGGTTCCAAGAACCCGAAATAAATTCTGTATGAATTATTGATGTGACGTGGTGGGGTTAATTGTCGAAATTGATGGCTGAGTTTTTAGGCAACCTCGCGCGCATCAAAACTGAGACGACAAATGAACAAGAGCACAGCAACAACGCAGATGCCATTGGCGGAAGAGGAAGACAAAGAAAACAAACCAATAAATCAAGCCGAGCCTAATGGGGAGGTACTGCGAATATTATTTTTCACATTAATTATGTTCAAACTTATATGCAGCAATCGTCTTTGATGGAAATCTTGAAAGAAGTGAAGTCTTCACTGGAGGCACTGAAAGCACATGATGTTGAAAGAGCCGAAGAGATTCGGTCGATACGTCGATTGGTGGATGATAGAGGGAAAGAAATGGATAAACTGCGAGGAATTGTTGCTGGTAATTATCTGCAAGTGTTTCCATTGATGTTTTTGCAAATGAATGTCAGACTAGTTGTTTCAGACTTTTTTGGTAGAGATTGCCCTCGCTCAACAGATTCTCAATGTTATCCGATGCCTGAGAAGAAAAACGAACAAGAGAAGTCACCTTCAAGAAGAGCTAATGACTACAAGAACAATTCTCCACAATCTCCTAGCCCTCAGCGATATACACCAACACGTAAAGAAATGGGGAAAATGGTTTGTTTGGAAGTGATGTAGGATGTGTATGTATCTATTTATTCTAGACTAGACACGAGCCTGATCGGAACGCTGTAGATGATATAACTTTCGAGGAGTTCCGTCATTTCATGTCTACCAATCCAGCATTTCGTCAGTATGTGGCAGATCTTCGAGCTGAAGAGAATGAAGTAAGTATAATAGATATGTATTGATTCAATGAAAATTGGTTTTTTTTGGCCACAGATTCAGAGCTGTGTTCCTCTGAAGTCTACCACAAGCTAACTTTACCCATGTAATTCTTCTCTCCGATGCATGACTCTACTTTCTGCGTTCATCTCTGGTGCCAGTATCGTGCCAGCTCTGGTGCGACACCATGCTAAAGCCTTGCCCGGATCGATCGATCGGGCGGGCCCAAGCGGCGTCCGACACTGCACTGGAACGCGTTGGTACAGCAGTTTGTTTGCTAGAGATTCTGTCCCTAAAAATAATTGCAAAAATATGATTGACAATATTCTAACTCCAACAAAACTTCGTCATAAGCACACAAAGACGGTCTACGCACTAGAAAACGGGCATGTTTA